CTTATACTACAATAGGGGGGGGGGGGGAGGTAGGTGTCTTCCGACCCCAGATTTGTCCCGTGACTGACAAAAAAATATAGATAAACTTTCAACCACATCCGGGCTGGAACGTTGGAGCCCAGGAATCAGGAATTTTTCCAGAAGAGCTACAAAGTTCCTCAAGCAAAAGAAATATAATTACAAATGGTGTCTCCAAGGGGATATATAAGCCCTTATAGTTTAACTATGTATTTAATTTTTAACGACGTTTCGAGCAGTTTGCTCATTTTCAAGACGTCTACAAATAGTCACAAAAAACATTGTTAATATTATTCAATAATTATCTAATGACAATTAAATAAATAATTCCAATACTACTGTGAGAACTTAACAGAAGTCAATAACTTCAAAATCATTCTATTATATTTTTCTGTTATGTATTATTTCTAATCTACAACAATATAAATTACTCTGTTTCATTTTATTCACATATTGTATAAAGTATGTCAATTCTAAAATAATTAAAATCATTCAAACATGATATTTCAAAATTAAAATATTTACAATTCTTGATTCTTATGTTAATTTTATTTGATAAATATACTTAACGGAACTTGGCACTACCTTCTCTTAATATTGTTTAATATGGACTGCAACATTTGAACTCTTAAGGGATGTATGTCCCTGTAAGAATTAGCTAATATAAATGAAATATACCGTTGTTGATGTTTTTATTCTAATTAGAAACTAATTTCATATAATATCTCTTCATCTTGACATCACACTCGCTGATTGTCGGAACTTCTGACAGGTGTGAGTTGAAGAATCAAGTTAAAAAAAAAAAAAAAAAAAAAAAAAAAATTCATATAATATATGAACTTAATGTTGCCCAATATTTTAACATATGTTTTAAAATTTACTGTATTATTTCATATTTTTAATTATGTATATAGATTCGAGTGTTTTTCTGGTTTTAGTATTATCCGCTCAGATTTATCTTTTTCCGCTCTTTAAAATTTTTATATTATTAAAATAAAAAAAAGTATAATTTTTTTTATTCAACAAAAGTAATTATTGCTTATTATACCAATATCTGTTATCCGTATACTGACACATCCCGACTATTTTTAGCTATTTATATTTCAAAAAATTTTCCTCCTTCATTTGGCCAACCGATATTCTGGAGATGTTCCAAAAGCCATTTCGTAATGATACTTATTTAGATGTAAAAATCGACCTACCTTAGCTGACAACATCGACATACATACATTATTCATTTTGTTTTCTGTGCCGTTTCGAACATTTTTAATTTGTTTTTCACGTATCATTGCTTCATGTAGAAGTAGTGGCCGTGAAGTGGTTTCGAAAACTTCTGTTCAGTCTAAACTTTTTCCGAACAATTATATTATTGAATAATTATATTTGTTTTATTTAATATATAATTTATTCAATTAGTTACTGTATAAACCATAAAATATTTAAATCTAAATATTTACAAACTTGAAAGAATTAGTTATACTGAATTACTTTATAATTCTAATAATTATAATCGATTGAAAAACGTTTAAGTTTATGCTGTCAGTTAAATTGAACAGTGCTTTCGGCGTAACTCGATCCAGGAATATTTTCATGCAATATGTTCTGTAACGAGTCTGCCGCTGTAAATATTGTTTTTAGATACATAAAGTATTTTATTATTTGATTTTTTTTTCATTTAAACAAAATTAAATTATTGGCTCATTCTGGAGACCATAATGTGAGTTAAATATATTTATTTCTTAAAAAGAAACTAAATACTCAACATTTAATTATCGAATATTCCAATCAACACAGAAAGGTATTGTCTGTATTTAATTTTTAGTGCAAGTTAAGTTTTTTTTTTCTACCTTCTCTAGAATACACTGCCAACTCTGACATTGAATATAGTTTTCTAGTTTTCTTCAACTATCAAGGTTTACTTTGACCAAATTTATGCCTACTTTAATTTTTTTTTTTAATCTGCTAAGGAAAGAGTTAATTTTTCAATTAATTTTAGAATGCTCATTTGATTTAACTGCTCTATCCGACGTTGTGATTTATGACCATCCGGCACTTTTAATTTACTTTGAAATTAAGTATTGTAAATTTATCAAAGGTAAGGTAGAAAAAAAAAGATTCTGTTGGCAGCGATACAAAAAATTGGCTGAGGTCCTGTTCGATTTATAAAGGAAATATCTAATAATACCGCCGGTCCCATTAGTTATTTTCTTAATTAATCTCTTTTTTAAATAAATGTTGTTTTAAATAAATTATCATCCCATTCACACATCGTAGCCGGTGTACCTGAATAAAAATCGGATGCCCCATTTAACGATCTTTTTCTGTTCATTAAAATATAAGCAGATATCCTTTCTCTAGTTAGTTATTTTAATATTTTGAATAAACGTTTTTAATGTGCTATACGGATTAATACATTTTTTTCTGTTCTAAAAATATATTAGCATTGGAATTGAAAATATAGGTTTTTGCGTTTCCTGAAAAAATTGTCAATGATAAATTGGAAGTAAACGACTCATATGGTCAACACATATGTTCCGATTAATTTACAATACGAATAACCTACAAACGTACGTACGTAACACAAGGCCGAATCTATTAAAATCGAACGATTGATTCATCAATTGTTTCTCGATCGTTTGATTAGATGTTGAATGAAATTCGATTTGCTATCAAGGCTGTTTTATATTTATTATTTATAGGTTTATTAATAGTTTCAACTTCTATGCCTTTAATATCAGGCGACAGAATATTTCCTTGGTGTTATGCAAACCCGCGTTTGAACACTGCGATGCAGCATAGTATCATGGGAACATCTAAGGCATTTAATGGAATTTCACTGATGTTTCATTGATTTTTTGTACAAATAGGGTTTTTATGTCTCTTTGGCAAAAAAATTACTTTCAATATTAATATTGTATCTATTAAATCTATAATAGTATTAATTATCTATAACATCGATTACCACGTAATAAAATTAATTATAATAATTGAATTATTCAATAACTGTTATTCATTATATGATTTTTCAAATAGTAATTAAAAGCTTTAATCGGAATATTTTCGTTTTATTTGTGTCTTTTTCTTCTCTTTTATTTAATTCTACTTTTTTTCCATTATGTTCGATCTTAAAATCTTCCAAAGCTCCTATATTTTATCCTACCCACATTTTAAAAAAAAAAAGAAGTTAAATCCCAGATTACGACTATCAAACTTATTTAATTTAAAATGTTAAAAATTAAAACTAAAATCTAAACTGAATATTAACATTTACCTACGTAAGCCAATTTGGAGCTATTCCTTACAGATATAGAGTTGAGCCAAAATGGCTCCGTTTCGGAACTATAAATGAAGCTCCAGGGTACATCACTAACCTTACTTTATTACTTTACATAAAGATACGTTCACATGCCAAAAGTAAAAGACTAAATACAAACTAAAAAAGATTTCACGATTACTTACACAGACCTACCAACGCTCATACAATATATGGCCACAATTAGCATTCCTAACACTCGCATAGAGAGCTCAAAAAGAGCTAGATAAAGGATCTCCTTAAATTTGGAAATAAAATCAAGCTAGGAAGAGATACCGTAGGACACTCCTATCCTTCAAGCATGTCAATGCATAATTAATATTATTTTTCTCGACAGCAGATTTACTGGTTATATGTTTCTTTCACAGGTCGATGAAGAAATTAAGTTAAAAAATATGTAAATTAAAGAAAATGATCCTGTAAGTTCTATAATCCTTTTTCTGTCCGAATGGTATTTATTATATAAGTAGAATAACTAATGACTATTATTAATATAGTCATTAATAAATATAACTCATACGTTGACAACCTGTATAAAACATAATTGAAAAAATTATAATAATAACTAATGTTGCGTAAATTTGAGACCAAGACGAGTTTTGTTCTTGCAAACTAGTATTGGTTTTGATATTGGTCTTGCGCAAGAGTATCGTAACAGTCTTGTAGGTACCTATTAGATTATTACTATAGAGATATAACTGTAATTTTTTAGATAGGAGAAACCTAACTAAGCCTGAATGAAAAATCATAAGAGTTTAATGCAAAAGTATGTTGGTTATACCAATTCTTTACAAATAGTAACTAAAATTGTCAAGTATTAGTAACTATCTTAATTTTTATTTAAAAAATCGATTTTTTTACAAGTTTTGGTCTTGTTCTTACAACAGTTAGGCGTGCTTGATCTTGGTCTTGCCAAGTGCAAGACCAAGACCGATTTTGGGCAACACTAATGATAACTCTGTTTTTTTTTTACCGCAAATGTGGCCGAGGGTCAGAAACCCCAGCTCATGTGTTGGGCGATTGTCGGCATAACACGCTCCTTGTCACTCGCCTGCACAATAATATATAGAGCATCGCATAGCCAAATTCCTTGAAACGAAGAACTATAAATGTTTCCTCGAAAATTATTGCCTTTATACAGAAGGCTCAACAAGGTTAATTGGCATTTTGGCCTTCAATGAGACGAAAAGGGAGGCACTCGTAGTTGATTCAACGATCAGGTTTGAAACAAACGATCAGGATCAGGACTTCAAGATACAGGCAGAGAAAGAGGAAATTTATAGGAAATGCATACCTTACTTAAAGGGAAAATATAGATATGAATTCAGCGAGAGAAATTTAAGTTAAAGGGCTATGATTTGGAAGAAGGGGAAGAATCCATATCAATACAAGTAATTTCTTGGAGAGTCTCGGTGAGGTAGCAGATGCATTTTAGACTCGTTTGTAATCCTCCATCACCACATATATACATCTAGACCTTCACTTATTTGATTCTGTAAACCGTTCTTGGCATATCTGATATTTATTCCAATGTTCCGATCTTACTCTCTCTTATATGTTTTTTTCAGTATTATCTATTGATTAATGAGTATGATCTTTTATTTATTTTAATGAATATGTATATTTTAAGTAACAATTTATCTAAAAAACGTTTTAAATTCTATTACAGAAATCGTTCGACGGCGTTGGACTCGGACCAGACGGAGATGACTACTATTACGACGACTACGATGATGACGAAAAGGATTCGCAATCCAAAGACGATGATGATAAGCGAGAATCGAAGAAGACCAAGAGGGAGATCCCGTACAGCCCGCTGCTCGGCCAGCCGTACAACCTCATCATAAAGCAGTCCTACAAGACGATTCCCAACAAGACGTAAGTCCGATTTTTGTATTAATTGTCCGCTGTACTCGTTGGTAAAGTAGTTAGCAAGTTATTCAATATTCATTTATCTTCAATATTTCGGTTCTACAAAAATATATAAATTATGGGGTTTGTTTACTTCGTTTACAGCATTATATACATATGTCGCCAATAAACCTCATGCATATATTTTATGTTAGATGGGTGCGGTTCACTTCTTCACGAGTTTAAATTCAGGTCTTCAGGATGCTTCCTTCCTCTTCGCCTCCTCTGTCTGGCGATAACCTTCTTCTTGTATCCAATTATTTATTTTTGCTATTTTATTTTGACTGATCACCCCAACCAGGTCTGCCTCTGCTTGTTGATGGAACAACCCTGATGAAGGCCGGAACTTCGGGCCGAAACGTGGGCGAGTTTGAATATAAATACAATTATATATTTTGTCTGATCATCCCAAGCAAGTCTGCATACGCTTGTTGATAGAACAGCCCTGATGAAGGCCTGAACTTCTGGCCGAAACATCGGCGAATGTGAAAATAAATACAATTATTTATTTTTACTTTTTTGTTTTGACTGATTGCCCCAACCATCCTGCTTGTTCACTTCTCTTATTCACTATTCTTCTCTTCAATTATGCATTACAGTCAGCTATCAACCCACAATTATAATTCTGTAATAGTCCGGTTTCCCTCAGCATATTAGCGCTCACCGCCTCCGGAAATTGAAACAATGAAGGGTATCAGGTGAGACCGAAGGACCGAATGAGTAGTTTTGGTGTTGTTATGCCGAATCAAGGTGGACTACGGAAACATTTCCTTGTTTACCTAGCTTTTCCAACTTTTTGAACTAAAACGTCTCCTCCTTCATCATTTGCTCGCTTCTTCTGTTTAATCTTTGAATATCAGATCCTTTTCTAGAATTGTAAGCGATGATTCGACAGCTGTTACTTAATACTTGATCAAATTACCTCGTATGGTGTGTTAAGGAAAAAAAATCTTTCGCCATGTTTGGCTACGTTTTAAATTTCACTTTCATTTTTAAAGAACTGCCATTCATCAACCCCTATTCAAAATATGTAATTTTCCCTTAATAAACTGTGAATCAGTCCTAAAATCTCTCACTTTTACTTATGAACGATCATGGAGGCTAAGAATAATGTAACAATTATAGTAGAAATAGTAGCAAGAAAAGTGGAAAGTGATTTGTTGATCATTTATTTTCAAATAAAATTTTCACAACCATAATTGGATATGAGTATATTAATTTGTTTATAAAGCTTTAGTAACCCAAATCTTTAAAGATTTTAAAGGTTAACTGTCTTCTTTATTTAGTTAAATAATTTCTTTATTTTATTTCATTTTACCTTTTTTTTTGTTTTTTACTTTACTTTTGGAAAAATCGTCAGCTTTACTACCATCGAATTATTTCCAACCCTTAAGTTTGTCACATTGGATAACCCCTGCCGTAGAACAGCTTTAACAAATCTCTTAATATTCATTCTCTTTATACTGATTTCTATTCGTGATTCCTCATCCATATTGTTCTTCAAACAAATCTATAGACAAAATATGTTATTCTAAACGAACTACAAGCCATATAAAAAAATGAAATAAAAAACCTGTTTTTTATTCATTTCTAAACTATAAATACATATCCAAAGTACGATTTTCTAATGATTACAAAGAAAAAAATAAATATAATAATAATAACAGGTTTAATTTTAAATGTTCATACTTAATTTTGATATCTCTATTAATTGGTGCCCAAGCTTAAAAAGATACATTTTTTTCTCGATGTTTTGTTTTAAGTATAGCTATATTTTTAATTGTCATTCATATTTTATAAGAAGGCGCAATTGACATAATGCAAGGTATTAATGACGTGCTGTTATTCTTATTTTATTCTAATGTGGCTGACAATAAAATTTATGCCTCAACCGGACTCGAACCCCCCGTACTCGGGAAACAACAATCCAATACCTTAGCCTATGAGCTATTTTATTCTTATTTTTATAGAAAATTTTATTTCTTTTTTTAATTATTATAGGTACCTCATTATATCTATTTCATTGTTTCATATTATTTTCAAAAATTATTATTGATAATTTATATTATATCATCAAAACTGATATGAACAATAGCAACCATTCTCTACGATTAGATGAATGTGATAAAAATATGGCGTCAGAATGAGAAAGGGAAGGTGGAATCCATTGACTCGAGATCAGAGCAAGTGGGTATTAAATGTTTCAAGATCCTACAAGCACTTCCATCTTGATGCTGTTGCTCGACTACTTTGCTTGTATTCTTGTTCTGTTGAAATACAAGAAATCCGTTTAATCTTAGGACTAATCCGTTGTTTTTTTTCACTGTAAATGTAAGGAATAATGCAAGTCTCGAAGAATATTAATTAACATAATACCTTTAAGAATTCTAACCGGATTGAAACTGTACTACATAACACGACATAACCTGTTGTTGAATTACATTAAAATTTATATCATTACGTAGTTGAAAGATTCCTTAGTTCACTGTATCTAATTTCTTTGCTATATCTTTATTTTGGAACCTAGAACGATTTTCTAGCGATAACAATGGAAAAGTAAATATAATAATAATAACAGTTAGGTTTAATTTAAAATTTTCATATTTAATTTTGATCCAGTAATTGCTAACCAAGATAAAATAAATACATTTTTTTTCTCCGACGCTTTGCTCAATTAAAATTCGTTTCTTTTTTACCGAAGAATTTATTCAGGGATGCGGTAAATATATAAAATACTATATTACATATTAATATTTTTATTGGATTAACCAACGTTTCGACATAATTTATTATGTGACGTTTAATTTGTCACAACAAGACGAAATTAACATAATACATTCATAATAAAGACGTGCTGTTTTTCTTATTTTAATTGTTTTCTTCCTTTAAGAATTATCTACTTTACTACTATTGAGAAACCTGAAATATCAAAATTAAGGAAGGAATTTTCCATATATTAAAAATATCCAAATATTAAGAAGAAAACAAACCAACTCGAATTTAGCAAAATGGATACATTAGAGATTAAAGCTATTATACGAGTAAACAGAATATGATAAATTTTCAATTGTTAGAGTTGAAAATTATTTTACAATCAGTTGAATGTCGGATTCCATATTATTTATTTTTTTAAAAAGTATGTTGCTTAAACACAGTCTCAGATCTGTGATAAAATTGATAAATAATAAATTAAGTGCTGAAAAAGACGGAGACTAAAAAAAAGATCGAAAAAAGGTTGAACGACGCTTTTTTGGTATATTCGTGGATCGATAAGCATTAAAGTTCCACAGATTTTGAAATTCGATAGTATTTTTGTTTTCCTTAAATGTTTTTTTATATATTCGTTATATTTATTTTTTAGTACATTTTGAATAATACAATATAATCTCGTGGACCTTTTCTCTGTACTTAATTTTTTATTTATATCCCATAGTTGGTTACCGGAATTTTAATTGTTTCTATAAAATTCAATGTTTAAATTATTACAAATTGTTTATTAATAAAACTTGCCAATAATTGATTAAAATCGATATTATTTTTTATTTATACATCATTTGTTACTATTATTGATTAGCAGTTTATTATCATCGATTACATTGTTAAAAAAAATCTGATTAAGGTATTTGTACCATTTTCTGCATTATTTTCTTTCTTTGATAAGACTTGCCATTTAAAACCCGTCAGAAAACTCAACTGACTTGAGTTATTTTACTAAACTAACGATCGGTAAAAACAAATCCACAATAAACTTGCTAATTGAGCACGACCTGGAATGGTCATTAAATAGTTCGTAGCATAAATAATTGCTAATTAGCAATGGCTGCCTAGCAATAAGGACAACTCTAAGTCTCTCTGGTTCACTAAGGAATAAAGGTCTCCATAACGCGCTCATTATGCAACCAGAGTCTTCGTCGTAAAACAAATGGCGCCACCATACCTTGGCGGACCTTACAAAATGGAACGCACCAAGGACTCGCAAGTCACCAATCGGGTGAAGGTTGTAGTGGTGCCTCTAAGAACTTCATTGTTCCGATCTAGGGCACGCATATCAATAAAAGAATGTCTTTGACGTGACTACATGCTACAGGATACTGCATTTCTAGTATTTGAGGGTGAAGGATGAAATAAATTCGGCACTTCCATTTTTAAAGCGACAACGGCGTTTTACTAGAACAGCGATGATATCTCACGACTACAATCCAGTGAGAAACGAATTATGCTCCTTTTCGTTTATTATTTTCAATATTAGATCTTTGTAATGGACTAAAAAAAAAAAAAGGTGAGCACCCCTCAAAATTTGAGGTTCTACGTTTCAAGATACCTAGAATCTAGGCCGCTTTCACCGATATTACTATACTGATAGTTTTGAGATTCGGTATTAAAGCCAAACGACACCCGAAGATGATCCTCAGAACTCGGCATTACCATGCGCCCTTTCCTTTCAAGATGGCTGCCGACAAAATTTTGCGATGAAGTGAAAAATAATTTAATTCTCTTAAAAACTTGTGTCACTTACTCAAAAATTTTGATGGCGCAACTGTCGCCATGAAATCTTCTGGGCACCTCTGCTTCACGTAATAGTTCACGTTACTTGTATATATGCGAGCCTTGGTTATGAAGGTCCTGGTTCGTAGTGGTTCAAGTTATTCTGATAGTCTACCTAATTTTAGGTTATAAATAAAAATCCAACCATGCAGCCTCGAGACCTAAAGTGCAGGTACAAATAACCTTAAACGTTTTGCCAATTCAGGCATCATAAGGACAGAAAGAATAAGATCGCAACACTCCAAGACATTCAAACGCAAACACCATCAGGATGCCCCATGATGTCTGAACTGGGGAAATGTTGAAGGATTAGTTTGTTTTTTTACCTTCATTTGATAAGGTGCGTTTATACATTTCACAAACTATGGGAAACACAATTATCTAACTTAACTAAGAGCGACATCAGAGCTATGCCCAACTTT